ACAGTCTGTAGAGTTTTCCATCTGGTGTGGGTGAGTGATAGTCTACTTTGATTTTGGTTAAGGTGGATTATCACTTACAGTGTAATCAGTGAGGGGATTCTACAGACTGTTGAGGGTTCAGCCTCCTAATGAGTCGGTGAAACTCCGACGAAACAGTTTGTCACAGCCCCTTGTTTGTTGTCCTCTTCTCCCTCTCTGCCTACGTTTTACCGGACAGTTCTATTTGACGATATACAAAACACTTTTCTATACACGAGAGATGGCATGCTTCGGAAACAAATTATCGGTATTCCAATGTGAACGAATGCTGGCCCATAAATTTCTAATCTAACGCTGTATTGGGATGAAGCACGCTTTGTTGATGACATTTGTCAACATGATCTTCAAGCTGCTCAACAATATGCCTTCACCTATCGCCTCATTGATGATGTTCTTTCATGGGGACATTTACCTCCTCCACCAGAACACTATGGGCTGGAGTGGAAGGAGACTACAACTACAGATGGCTCTTGTACCTTTTTAGGTATGCAGCTACTGGTCCATTCCGATGGCTCGCTTCGCATGAGCGTCTTTGATAAAGCGGCTGCTTGGGATTTCCCTTTCATTCGTTATCTAAGTGCGACCTCCAACATTCCTTCCCATCAACCGGCTGGTGTGTTCATTGGGCAATTGACTAGATTTGAACAAATCTGTAACAATTGGTAGGACTTTCGAACTGCGGCAACAACACTTACTCGTCGTATGCTTTCGCGTGGGCATTCCCCACTAACCCTTGCTAAGGGTTGGACCTGCTACTACATGCGCTCCCGCCAACGTCGCTATCCTACACATGTGACGCGTCTTTCTCAGTGGTTCCGACGCATGTTGCGATGGTCTTTGTATCATCCAATTTTTTCTTTGCCCCCACGATGCTCTCGTCCTGCCCCTGCTTACTCATCTGCTGCTACCGCAATTTCCACTGCTACAGTCTCCACTCCTACAGTTTTCACCCTTGGAGTCTCCACTCCTGCAGTTTCCACTGCTGCAGTGTCCACTGTTGCGGTTTCCACTGCTGCAGTTTCCATTGCTCTAGTTTTCACTGCTCCAGTTTTCGCTGCGGCAGTTTCTACTGTTGTGGTTTCCTCTGCTGCAGTTTTCGGTAGAACAGTTTCCCTAACTGTAATTCCCCCTACTTTAGTTTTTACTGCTACAGCTTCCTGTCCTGCAGCTCCAATGCAAAGAACATCACAATCTCTCCGACGCTCACGTCCTTCACTCCGAAATCTTGCCCAATGCACCCCCCTCTCATCTTTGCCTGTGCTTGGCCGTAGACGACTGCGTTCCTCCTCACCACCCCCATCTCCTCCACGGTCTTGCTTGCAAACAGACTCTCCAGTTTCCATTGTCCCCATGGTTCCACCTGCATTGCTAGGTACAAGTTCAGCTTCTGTTTGCAACACCACTACTCCTCTTGTTGTGTATCACCGACGACATCCGCGGCATCGTCTCTTGTCCGGGGATCAGCAACCTGTTTCTTTGTCAGCCCCGATTCTCTTTGTGCCTCCTCCACAAGTTGTTGTGGTTCCTTTGTTTCAAACGGCAATATCCGCTCCTATGACTCCTGCAAACAGTCCATCTGCCTGCAAACAGCCACCAGTCCCTACTCAGGATGCAACCACTGCCCAGAGTACACTCCCGACTCCAGGTATAGTCCCTACTCAGGATGCAGCCCTAAACGTTGAGGGATTGGAACATGATCTGCCCGGATCGCAGTTGACCCCATAAGGCGTAGACCACATGGGGGATCTGCAAATGGCTGACCAATATTGTTCGGATGAAACACAATTTTGTGCTCCGCCACACGCAGACCACATGGGTAATCTACAAATGACTGACAAGCAAACAGCCCAACACAGTTTGGGCTTGCAACACCATCTGGGTGATCTGCAAATTGTTGGCCAGCATCCAACAAATCAGCCTGAGAACCTCACCAATCTCTGTGGTTTGACAACAACTAATATCTGTCTTCACATTCTCCATCGTCCGTTTTATACACCATCAGACTTCCTTGCAATCGCCCTTCAGCTTGATGCTGATCTTCCCCAACGACAGCCAGAGGATTGTAATTATACCAGCGAAGGAGGCTTTACCATTGCTGTCCTATAAGTAGCAATGAGGGACCGTCAACTTGAACTACGCAATGCTCGAGCAGGTGAGTGGTTTAATCCTCCATCCCACATGTCTACCTGCATTGTGCACGGCCCTGGCCATTACACGGCCTTTGTACATGCCTCTGACCACTGGGAGCTGTGGGACAACGGCACCATGGTCCATGCCATGATTGATGTCACTGATTTCTTACAAAATGATGTTGCTTTCTTGCCACAACAAACTGTCTGCAATCTCTTTTATGTCGAAGATCATTCCTCTGGCCCTGTGCTGCGGCAAGACAATGCACCAACACTCGGCGACCTTCTCCTTTGCACAACCACAAACACTGTTACACTCGGCTGTAGCCGCCATCGTCTCTGTCACAATCATTACAATGACATGGTTTCTGCATCCATGTGTGCAGAGGACTGTCCCACCGTTCGTGACTGCAGGCACCCTCCGCATCTGGACACTATATGTCCATTTTGTGGCCATGGGCGCTATACTGAATGCATGCTCTTTTGTGGTGACCGTTCTTCTTTCATTTTGGCCTGCAATCGACATGCCATTTGTCGGGGGTGTATGGCGGGCATGCTCAATG